TGTTGATCCTTATTCAGTTTGCAGTAGCTACCATTTCTCAATTTATGTGCCATGTCGATGGCTTTCCATGACTTTCTATCCTTTCTAGGTCTAAGTAATGTTTGTCTCTTTACTAAAACTTCCAGTTTCTATTCTGGCATCCAGTTATACAAGCTCGTCAGGTTGGTTACTCGCTTTTTCACTTTGCCTCTCTTGCCTTAAGTATGTAGTGTAAGTTTCAAATTCCCAAAGCGTTCTTTCCGTATTGTGTATTCCCAGAAATTTCAACTGTCTCCGTCTTATTCTAAGCACAAGTGTTTTTTTTTGTTTCCATTTTCCTTAAAGCTTCATCCTTGTTCACATGTTTAGTCCATGATATTCGCAGCATCCTTCTGTAGAATACCATCTTTTTTGCCTTGAGTCTCCTCTTTATCTGTGAGGAAATTTTCCTGTATTCACTGCCATGCCATAAAGGAGAACTAATATTACAATTTAGTTCACTAATCTTTTCTGTGTTTCTAACGAAAAATTTTCTGTTTCTTAATACTTTGTTTAACTTTCGGAATATATTTTTCATTAGTTCAATACGCCTTTGGATTTCTGTGTCATATTTTCCGTCTTCTGTTAAAACACTTTCCAGATAATTACATTTCTGTACTTACTTGATTTTGACGTCCCCAAATCGTTGCTCACATCTTGGACTCTTCCTCTTGCTAATAATCATACAGTCTTCTTACAATTAATAGTTATTTCTTTCCACTTTCCTTTACTACCGTGTCTCGAAGTCCCTGCATTTTTTCTGTGCCTGCCATCAGTATGGTATCATCTGAGTACCTTAAGTTGCTTAGATTGTTCCCGCCAATAATAAAGGGCTCGTATGATAACGTCGTTTTAAAGGTTAAATAAATAGTGAAAAGAGGCATCTTATAGACCTTTCTATTTTTTGTACTTGTTTAGTTCATATTTATTAATTTATTTCATTCAATTCATTGACTACTAGGCTTGCCAATTTTTCTGATTACTCTGAATTGGTTATCACAAACTTTTTATTACCTTTGAATGCTGGTAGAATGATTAGATTTGTGTCACTGTATGATTTCCCATTATTATGCTTTTTTATTATTTGTGTCATGTTCTCAGTACAACTGTAGCTGATTTTTACTGTGTTTCTGTTGAACATTTTGTGGAGAGTGCCTGATGCGGGGAAGTGTTTGTGTATGAGTTTAAAAGTCGTAAAGCCTGCTTTCCGTCAATTATTCCAGTGAGACCATCTTCAACAAAGCCAAGAAATACTATGAAACATCCCTAAAAGATAAAGGATTCCCGGCAACATCCACATGCACACCGCACAAAAAAAGCCAACAGGAAGAGAAAAATCATATGGTTCAACCCACCGTACAACAAAAACGTAAAAACTAACTTAGGAAAAATATTCATTAAACTCATACGCAAACAATTCCCCGCATCAAGCACTCTTCCAAAGATATTCAAGAAAAACACAGTAAAAATCACCTAGAGTTGCACCGAAAACATGACGCAATTAATAAAAATCACAACAGGAAACCAACCAACAAACCACCTGAACAAATTAAACCCACGTGTAATTGTAGAACAAAGAATGAATGTCTCTTAAACGGCAATTTCTTGCTGAACAATGTAATATATCAAGCCACTGTAAAATCAGAAGATAACGAAGAAAAATATACATAGGAGTAACTGAAGGACCCTGGAAACAAAGAAACTTCATACACAAAACATCATTTACGAATAGTAAATACGTGAACAGCACACTGCTTTCTAAAAAAACTGGGAGATTAAAAACAAAAACCAAATCACACCAAAAATATCATGGAAAATAAAGAAAACAACATAGGTCTACAATAATCAATGCAAAAACGAACAAAAATAAACGAAAATAAATAAATAAATAAATAAACAAAAACAAGTAAAATAAACTAATTCAAACAAATAAATAAACTAAGTAAATAATAATGCCTAACAATGCTTTAAATTCATACAAATACAGTCGAAATTTTATTTTTTTCTAATAAGACATATGCAGATTTTCTGCCTTATACAATCATCAATAAGTTTCTTTACAATCTCATAGAGGTGTGAAGTTGGCCATACTGTTCAAAACGTGAAACTCAGAATAACGATTTCAAAGTACAGCCGAAGTGTTCACTTTACGTTAATACCTTTGAAAAAATCTTGACAGCTGATATAGTCGTGTATTTCCTAACACTAGCACTGATTTTCAAAGATTGTCGCAACATAATACTTCTGCACCACATTCTAATCTCATTTGACTTCATACATAGCAGAGCAACAATTTACCTTATAGCTACAGTGAGTTCTGAAAGCAATGATGGCACCTACTTTGAACTCATCATAAAAGTCCAGGAAGTGGATTTAGTAAATACCAAAACACTTCAAATACCTCGGTGTATGAATCAGTTATAACAAATATGTGCGCTAGAGGTAGTTTCACCCGACACCGCAAGTTGCTACAAAACCAAAACATTAACCTAAAAACTCGAGTCATGTTCTTAAATAACCTCGTCAGATCGAAACTTTCATATGGATGCCATGTGTCCAGAAATATCTAAACTGCCAGCTGTATACAACCGCTTTCTCAAATGGTTAAAAATGTCTTTCAGCTAGTGAAGCCTATGGTTCTTGGTGAAGACCACACTTCTTCGAACTTTGTGGGCTGGCGCTACAAAATCACAAAGAAAGAATTGTACCAAATAACAGAAACCACTTGAGAACTTTCAACAGCAGCAACAGCTAAAATGGATATTACATATCAAAATAATGACATAATCAAGATGTTAACATTCCACACTACTTCAAATAAAAGGTTAGGAAGGAAACCTACATCCGTACTGGAAAGAGCAATAACATTTACTGGACTTGAGAAACCTATCTTCCTGAAAATTCTTTTCAGAAAAATATTTTATATATTTTAACCGACAGTACCACAAACTGCATTTTCAATGAATACCGAATGTTTCCTTATATTATTATTATCATTACCAATATTCGATCCCAGGTAAAACATTTTGAATGTTGATTTTCAATGCACATAATTCCTCCTCACTTAGAAGCAGGTCTTAAAACAATCTTCTTATCCAACGTTCTATTAAGTTATTCTGACCTAAGTAAATATTAATAAAGAAGAATAAAGCCTGTATTAATTTGAATACTTTATCTTTAAAACGTTGATAAGTTTGTATAAAAGGCGTCAAACTCTTATATTTTACACAAAATGCAGAAAATGTGATTAACCAATTTATTGAACATATTTAATTAACCTACGTTTGAATTACACTGGGTATTTTCCTCATCTTAACTCAAATCTTACTATATTTTCATACTTGATTCTCGTATTCATTAGCGGGTATACCAACATTTTTGCCGCTTCTGTGTGGACAGGTAAATCCTTATGAGTGATAAGTTTGTCTAAGTTCCCACTCCTTCACTTTTCCCTCCCTCAAAAAAAGTGGCATGTCGGTGACCTTTAACAGGACACAGAGCAATGATATCTAATCTGAAAGTTAAGTGAACATTAACAATCTCAGTATGTACCCATTATTTCCCATGAAACAGTAACGATGCCTCCCCACCCCCATATATCTAGTGATTGAAAATTATACATTTTCTTAAACGTCTCAACCAATGTTCACTTAATCATTTTGTTCTTCATCAACTACTGCGGCATGTCAGTGACGAAACGTTTGTTCAGATATAAATTGTGCATAAACAGTCTTAGTCTGATTTAGAATTTGGTTCGTAGATTCTGTTTACCTTACTGAAAACCTTTTAAGCTGACATACTGAAACACATATACACACGCGCACAAACAAGGTTGACAAGATATGTTTTTTAATCACTCACTCCAAGCAAAGCAATAAAACTATTAAGATGCAAGGATTTGCTGAGTGCGAGAGAATATGAGGAAAAAAACACTATTAATGAGATAGAACAATAAAAGAATAAAAATTAAGAACATAAAAGATAACTTTTGACATTGCATTTTGAAGGTCAAAATTGACTGAGAAGCAAGAAGCCGGAAGAGATTTCCACAAGCGAGAAGTGCGATAGAAGTAACTAATTACATTAAATTAATATTACATCTAGCCATTTCAGACCTTGCCGCCAATCTAGTACTGCGCTTAAGCCCATAAAGTCTAGCTATCATAGAGGAAAGTTCATCAGAACAATCACCATGAAAATATTTAAAGTAAAGGCACAAGGAAACTATGTTACGGTGCTGGGAAAGTGATTGAAACAGAGGTGCCAGGCGAGGGCCAATAACATTGGAGGTTCTTCTTTTGATTTTATCAAGAATTTCTAAATACGTAGCGGAAACACCAGAACATATATTGCATTTTTTTTTTTTTTTTACTCCAGGGCGCACTTGTAGAATAGGGGTACTCTGGTGTACACTTTAAATGTTAATAGAAGATTGCATTTCATTTGGAATAAATAATTCTTTTTTATCTGCATATGTACTCTTCTGTATGTTCTTGAAATTATATTTTTCAATATTATAGAATATTGGAAATAATGTCATATATATTTATGATTTTGCAAATCAGTGAAGAAACTAGGGAATAGTTCAGTTACGATTTACTTAATTTTTTTTAGATATTTCAGTATAGTCGCTGAATGATTTTTATATATTTTTGTTACTTAAAAAAAGAAAATGTAATATATTCTTCCTAAGTTTCAAAGTTCAGATATTATGAAAGATTGATTGATTAGTTTTCTTCGGCTTATCAATCCTTTACAGGTTATTTAAAACCAGAATTTTTTTTAGATTGTAAGAATTTTTTTGAGTTTAGTGACACAAGTCTTACTAATTAACTCGTATCTGGGAGGAGAAGAGATAGATTCATATCTTTCCAAAAAGTATTTGCGCGTAAGTGAATATAACGAACCCAACGGAAATTGAAACTCTGCCTTCCGATTAGCAATTCCGAGCCATTATCCATTACGCCATCTTTATATCTAAGCGTACAGCACCTGGTATTCCCAAGTGGTCACACATCTATGTACTGACCAGGCTTGATGTTGCTTAAATTTAGTGATCGTACGGGAACCGATGTTTAAACGTGATATGGCCATAAGCCCTTATGAATAAGATTTAGTCTATAAAATTATGGGATCATAAACTTTTAACTTCTTATAATTGTTATAATAATAGAAAAATAATTCATAAATTACTCTTCTTTTAACTTGGGGTGCACCTGACTATATTTCAAGGCGTGTGTCCGCGCGCAGCGGTTGAGAAACACTGATTTAGCAAACTGTTATTATTGTAGCAAGGTGCCATAACTGATTACTTTCTAAAATAATAATAAGTTAAAGATTTTCAATTTTTAAAAATTAAGCTAATGACAAGAAGTTGTCAAGAATAGATAAATATGTTAACTTACACGATGTTTTCTGTAACAGAAGAAACTCGGCTATTTCGTTTGTTTTAGTCTCAGAATCATTGTTCTAGTATGAAAAACCATTATATCACTCGTCAGACGTGAGCTTTCCTGTTGATGACAACGAAATACCGATGTAAAGGAAGCGACGGCTGACTGGGGACACGGAAAAAGATAAATGCGACTACAACACACGGCTGCGCAATCGACTGGTCTTCCTCCTGTGCCTCTGGCAGTTGGAAACACTGCGCTGGGGGTCAATTGCGTCGCCCCTTCTTCCTCTTCCGTTTTATACAATGCCGATTTTTTCCAGCTGGACTCTATCCATCATGAGCCAACTGTTTTGTCAGTCAGTAATAACCCCTTCCTGGCCAACTTGGGGCCCTACATTTTTTAAGGTCTCGTGTCGGCTGTCTCAGTGTCCCAACACTTGCAAAGAGGCCATTTTATCTTATTTTTTGTTAGTACATCTTCTACTTGTCGACATTCAAAGAGGAAGACGAATTATCTTCTTAGGACACCTATTGTGTGTTTGTCTTTTCACTAACTTGTTGTGAAATTTAATCTATCTAATCTATTTTCAATAATTTATTTTTCTTTGTTATTTTTCTATAATCACTTTCTTAATTTTTCTTTCTTTTTTTTTAAGTAAGCATTCATTTAATTAGTCATCATCTTCTTTGATAATCTTTTTCTTTTTTTTACATCCGTTTTTCATTCGTTCCCTCTACCGTGATTCCGTTTGTACTTTCTTTCTTTCTTTCTTTCTTTCTTTCTTTCTTTCTTTCTTTCGTTCGCAACTTCATTCGTCTTTTTTCGTTGATGTACACACACACACACACACACACACACACACACACACACACACACACACACACACACACACACACACACACAGACAAATTTCAGACCTAAATTGTTTGTCCATTTAATATATTATATTTATTAGAAAATATATTCAGTCTAAATACTAAAGGAGTTACAAAAAAAATAACTTCAAAGTGTCGACTTTTACCCTTTTCCTGTTTCCTAGAGTTGTTGCCAGACAGAAAAAGAAATTAGCCCTCGTGACATAGATATTTTTTCAGTTTCATTCAAATTGTGTGTATATGTACGCTTCCATAATTCAATGATAGACCTAAAATATTTCTAGAAATTAAAAAAAATACTTTAAAAATCATTCTATTTATTACTGAATAATTTCCGAAAAGTTCACTAAAATCTTATAATTATCTGATTTTAGGGCTTAAAAAGTAACTTTTTTTTTGCTTCCATACTTTGATTCTATTGCTCAGCCCAGGATAGGGGGTCCAGACTGAATGGGAGGCGAATGTCTTTTTACAATATCTTATTTATGACTCAGTCAAATTGTATTTTTATATGTGTGTTAGCGTCTCTGTGTGCGTGTCTCTGTACATTAAATGACACAAGTGCATGCAAGCTACTGACGCACAATACAGACATACGCGTATACATTACATACGTGCATGTAAAGTCACAAGTAGACATTGTGTGGCGGACAGAGAATCAACCATTCTTTTGTAATATAGATGTTCAATTTTTCCTTCATTTAATATATTCTGTTTTTAAATTTTTACTTTTCAAGTCGCTCTGTGGACAATCAATCTAAGTTTTCACTAAATTATTCATTTTAATAAATTATTCAGTTTTTTTTTCTTCTTTAAGTGGCTCCTTACTCTTTTCGAATCGTTCGGACCGTTCTTCGATGAAAAATGGTTTTCGTTACTTAGGAGTATCAATCTTTTTGAAATATAAGTCATAATTAGTTTTTGATATTTTTCTTCAGCAAAATTGATGCAAGGTAATTCATTATCCATAGAATGATGGCTGCGTACAAGTTCCCCAAACAGCGGTGAGTGAAAAATGAAGGGACCTTTCTCACCACTCCAATAAAAAGGAAAAAAACGTATTAACCTCCTTTTGAGACGACAATGACTTGAGCCAGCAGTTCATATCCGGAACTGATCCATCATTCTTTCCTATCTCTCCGAACGCCGCTGCTCTACGTTGGTATTTTCCGTATTCCCCGCCTTCCCTCGTCATCGTCTTGCCTTGGTTTTTATTTTGTCTTTCTTTGATGTTATTCTTCTTTACCACTATTAGTTGTTCGTTTCAGGTAAAGACGAGTAACTAATGGTCTGGTTTATTTTGGAGTGCAGCACACTGCGCTGACAAGGGTTTCGCCCAGTTACCTGAATACCAAGTGATTTGTGGAGGCACGTGTTCAGTCGCTTCGCTGCCCAAACTGCCATAATTCATCTTTGCGTCGAATGCAAACCTGACACAAATCACTGATCGAACAGATGTGTTTCTTGGTCCTGCACCGCTGTTAGTCATTACATTTATTGGTGTGCGCTACTTGTTAACATGTTGGACAAAAGGTTGCTGCTTGCAGGTATACAAAGGTCACTCAAGGTGGGTGTGCGTCAAGTTCCCGGACACGTGACTAGCACGAGTTGGATAAAGAAGAAAAAGAAAAAAAGGGACTTAATGGCAAAGGAAGAAAGAGCTAAGTTTGCAAAAGCGTAACTAAAATAAAATAAAAACAAGCATAAATAAAGCGGGATAAAAGTAACGAATAGTAAAGTAAATACCTTTTTCACGGCGTCGTTTATTTATTTATTTGTCTTCGGGGCAGAATGTTACAGGGTTTATTACTCTATACTTCATTCTAAAGTAACTTAATTTTCTTTTATGTGCCAAGTCATTTCAGGCCATAGGTGATCATGTCTCTCCACAATTTCTCATTTTTGTACCTCTAAGTAACTTTTGACCCTTTACTCTTACCTCTTTGTCCCTGTTCTGCCATCCAGTCATATAAACTAGTTAGGTAGGTTCCTTACTTCTATTATTATTACTGTCATGTGACTATTAAATTCTCTAGACCTTCTTTCCTCATTATGCGTCCCAGAATATTAAACTATCTCTTTCTGATTCTAGGTACAAGTGACCTTTTTGTTACCATTTTCCTTAAAATTTTTTCATTGCTCAACTGTTCCGTTCACGGATTTCTCACCATTGGGCGGTAGAATCACATCTCTTTCACCTCAATCATTCTTCATCTGTAAAGAGATTTCCAGCATTTACCTGCCTTATAAAAGCGGATAATACATAGCAATTTAACACTCTTTTCTAACGAAATTTTCTTATCAAAATTATAATTTGAGATCATGTATGGTATACTAAAATTAACATTATAAATTACAATTCATTATAATAAATAAAATTCATCAGTATTTCAGCAAAGTAATCATATTACTACTAGTAATTTGTTTGTAGTGACACCAGCTTGTTCCTAGAGATGTTAAGAAATCGTTGTTTATGATTTATGTTAGCATAAAACAAAATGATTTATGTTAGTATAAAATAAAACTGCAAAAAGCAAACAGTTTTAGATGAAAAGGATATAGAACATGAAAATGAGAAATAGCCCTCAGCATTCGTACTGTGGTTGTTTTGGTTGTGTTCTATTGATAGGAGTGTTTATTTGTTGCTTAACGAATGTTTATAAAATACATTACTTTATACTATCGATGCTGAAACATTTTCTTGGACTAATAAAACCCTATTTTATTTTAGAAACAAAGATAAACAAACAATGTAACCATTCATTTTTTTCGGGAGATTTATTTGAAGAGGTTATAGTGTATGTTGCAAGTAAGTGTGTTTTTGATATCTGAAATAATGGGTTTTTATTTCAACTAATGTGTAGACTACGTTGTAGGCAAAGGGGAAGTAAATAAAATTGTATAAAACATTAGGCAAAGATAAAGATTAACATAGACTAAAGTGGCCATGTATTTTCTCTCAATGACAGAAATCAGTGTTCGAATTCAGGTTAAAACTTGAATTTTAAATGCCTCTTTGTTCTTTTGGAAGACTGACGTAACGCAATTTTCTAACCTGCGTTTGTTTGTGTGGTGCTAAGCTAAACTTAATAAATATCTATAAACCCTTCACCCCGTGTAACAGTTAACAAGTTAGCCATGAAATAAATATCAAGACCAGCCCTCTGATAGGGAATGATGATAAACAAATTAGTCCTGCAGATATTCTTCCGTATATGGAGATCAATCTTTTGAATTTGCGCCAGATTAAGCTTTGTTTAGTGAACAACGCAGAACATTTTTTTAAAACAAGAGTTTAAATGAAAATAGACTACAAAAACTGGATCATTTTGACATGGATTGGCAAAACAATGGATGCGTGTAAATCGTAATGAATTTTCACCAGTATTTATTTCGTCTTAATTTCAGTTACCTTTCGTCGCAAATTCACAGTGCGTTATTTTACAATCGCTAGTAACCAATGTGGATATGAAATAAAGAATAATCTCTCGATGAGACTCGAACTCATATCTTCTTTATATTGGGAACTTTATCTTGCTGTGATAGCCCAGGATTCCCGGAATAAAAGTGATACGATTTCGAATCTCACTGAGTGTTTATTCTTTACTTTAAAGTCGCGATGGTTACTAATGGCATAGACTCTGAGTAGTTGAGATTAAAAGAAACTGAAATTAAGATGAAAGGAATACTAGTTAAAAAATAATCATAGTTGACAATGTCATTTAATAATAATAATAATAATAATAAAACCTGAAGATAGTATATGTATGCTTTTTATAAATTGTGTCGTTACATTCTGTTTTTTGTTAAGTAAAAATTAATAAA